CTACTCGCGAGCGCCCCCTCTGGTAAGGAAACTTTTTTCAGGGATACAAACTTTTTCAGAACACAGGTAGACGGCAGCCATTACAGACGAATGTGTTTGTTGTTGTTTGAGGACCGGCTCGGTCACACGCTAATGTCATTAGTTTGTTATCATTACCAAGGTGCAGGACTGCTTTTTCCCTTTTTTTCACATCATGTCACCTGCCTGGATCTGTTATTATCTCGCTCTGCAGCACGGAGTGTCAGAAGTAAGCTTGATTCAACTGCTTTTTACGACACGGTCTCATTTCTGGACTCAGGCAATTTGGAAATTAAGCCGATATTTGAGTTAAAATACATAAGTAACTAGAAGCACTCGGAGAGTGCAAACCTCCGCCAAGATCAATTTCCCCCATCCTGTAATAGAATTACAAAGGGGCACACCAATACTACAGTGCCACCTGCTGGATGCTTTGAAACCCACACCCTGTGAAAGCATCACAGCTTTGCCGATCTCAGAATGTTAAAAGAAAAAAATTCCTGTATCCGCATCGTGATCCAGAACACCACCAAAATTTAAAGGTGTGTTACTTGAGCTAGTACTCACATGTGGTAAAAATGTTATGACAATCTGTCCACAAGTTTTTGAGTAATGTCCACAGACAGAACGACAGACAGACAGACATACGCCATCGAAAACATTACCTCGTCCTTGGCGGAGGTAAAAATATTTATCCGAGTATAGTACTACCCCCCAACTTTATGGATGATTTTATGGATTTAATTTGACGTATTATACTTCTATAAATATGGTAATTACATTTTCAGATTCCTGCTTTAAAAGCTACATTTTGATAACTGGATCATCCTGATATCATAAGCTTATCCAGAGATATGACTTAAATTATCTTGTTGGTTATGGTAATACATTAATGTTTGGTCTGAATCCTAATTTTATATAAATTTATTGAGAATATTTTGATGGAAATATAAAGAGGAAGTTTCGAATAGTATTTAAACACTGAGATTTCTCAGTTGGAAAGAAACAAAAACATTTCAGGCTCATAGGGAAATTTTTTAAATTTAAGGCATTTTTTCCTCAAATTCAGTTTTTTTGTTGTTATTGCTCAAACAATGCTTCACATTGTTTTTTAGGATTGTATTTCAGACAGTTTATTCAAATGATACATTGATAAGGCATTTATTCATTATATTTTGACAAAACACAATTTTTGCACACACTTAAATCAGAACCCTATATTTACCCATTTCTCCGTATACCACTTTTGGACTTGATCCTGGTTTCGATGTGATGGGTCACAAATATGCATTCCTTCAAGGAAGCCTTTCATTATGTGTATCAGCCTCTACATCTGCTGTGACTGAGCTTACTCACCTGAATTCAGATAGCACAGCATCACAACCAGAACAGCCAGCAGCACCAGTATTATGAAGCTAACAATAAGGAAGAACATCCAGCTGAAAGGTTCTGCAGAAAAATAAAAACAGATGAGCGACATGAACCTCTCTGGTATTTTGTGGCACCGCATGTGAGAAACCGGCAGGAATAAACCCAGGGCGCAGGCAGGCTCAAAAATATAACAAAAGGTTTAATAAAGGCAACAAAAAGAGGGCTGATGGCAGCAAACTTACATATAAGGAGAGTCTCAGGCACGAGGAGAACAGAGCACAAGGAACACTAGGAACAACAAACCAAACAAAATGATCCCACGAAAGACAGAGACAGGACAGGGCTTAAATACACAGAAAACTAATTACAGAAACACAAAACACCTGAGGAGAAACACAAGGGTGACAATCAAACAGATCGGGTGCAGCTGAGCTGAGACACACTGGGGAACACTGAACACACTAGAAAACTAAGAAAATAAACACAGATCGTGACACCGCAGCAGAACACTGCTCTCATCTCACCTTCTACTTTCAGAATGAAGCGTTTTTTGATGGGCATCCTGAGAGACTGATGGGAAACGCTGCAGATGTATTCCCTCTCAGAATGCCTGGTGGAAGCCTGGAGGTAGAAGAAGGCTGACACGGAGTATGTCATGTCTTGGTTGTGTTTGTGGCTGGAAAGCAGGATGTTTGGCAGCACCTTGGGGAGAGGAAGGCCGACACGCTGACCCGATGTGTTGGGGTCCTGCTCGTACCACACGATGTCCACATCCAGAGGATAGTAGTTCTCTGCCTCGCAGATGACTTTCTGCTCGCTGCCTTCCTGCAGGACAAGGGTGGGTCCCACGTTCAGGGAGACACGGGGAGGCTCTGAATTTACAGAGGGACAAACAGAAATATTAACTTTAGCTGCAAACACAAATAGACATTAAAGACTTAGCAACCCTTGAAGGAATGCTCAGCACTCACTGCCTTTCATGACAGCATTAAGATCGCCTTATTTCAGGAATAACTGTTTTGATCAAACCTTGGAAATACGTGAATTCTTACACTTAGTATGTGTTGTGAGGGACTCAGCTAGTACAATACATACATATTAGTGACATTTCTTAATACATGAAATATATCCATTTTGTGTTTTCTAAAATCAGTCAGAGTTGTAAAGTAACTAAGTACAAATACTTTTACTGTACTTAAGTAGAAATTTTGGTTATCTGTACTTTACTTGAGTAATTATTTTTCAGCGTACTTTTTACTTTTACTCATTACATTTTTGCACAATTATCTGTACTTTCTACTCACTACATTTTTTAAAAAGGTAAGAAGTAGAAAGTCGTTACTCCTATTTTATTCTGAGTTATTGCTTAAAAAATCCTATCCTGATAAACTGTGTCTCCTATAGAGTGAATTTAATTGTGTTTGGATGAGAAGTATAAATACAACCATTCTGACACACTATTAACTTGTACACAACCCATCACAGCTGCACACTGTTAGAAAATATAGTTTTGGAGAAGTCACCTCCCAATAAATGTCATTTTGGAAAATCTAACTGCTCACTTTTACTCAGTACTTTTACTTTTAATACTTAAGTAGATTTTGTGTCAGAAATTTACTTTTGATACTTAAGTACAAAAATATCAGATAGTTCACTGCAAAAAATGTCCACCTAACCAAGTTTTAAAATCTTATATCAGCCAAAAAGTCTCTTTGATCTTGTTTTGAGAC